ACCTGAGGATGCGGCGGCGCAAGGGAGAGCGAGAGAAAAAGAAAGAGAATGAGAAAAAGAGAGGAGAGAAAAAAGGTGGGCTAGGTAGATCGTGTTGTTGTGGGCTTTCGTAGATGGGCTAATAGAATTTAGAGGTAGAGTTAAAAAATAAAGAAAAAATAGTATATGACATTTAAATCCTTTAAACTATTCAAAGTTAATTCTTGCAAATGCTGATGTATTATTTTAATTCCCTTCAGCATATTTCTAAATTAAATTAAATTGTTTTTTAAGTAAATATATATATAACTTAATCTTTCATACTATAATCTAAATAAAAGTATTCCTTCAAAATATACCTTATAAATTATCTTGTCAAGCAAACCAAAATATATGTTCTAATTAAAGAAATATATCTAGAGATTATGGAATAAAATCTCTATAGTGAATCAAATTTCTTCTAAACAAAATAACTACTCTTTCTTAAAATAAGTTTAATAAAAGCAAACCCATAACCTATATAGATCCAGTATGTGAGTTCGAGTAGAACATCCCATTGCATTCATATAAACATTATCATATTTAGTTGTGTTTTATTGTTTCTTTTAGTTGGGTGTTTATCTTGGATTTCTAGAATTCTTTATTGATTTATTCATTCTTCGATTTCGGGTATCTCAAGCAAGTCCAACACCTTTGACCAACTCTTGTTATATTTTCGTATTTGCAATCTATATGTATCACCTTGCATTAATTATATTTTCTGCAATTAAAATAAATATGTTGAAGGATTCGATTGGTTGTTGGAGCAGTTGGTCATATTATGGATGTATTCTAAACTTGTCATTGTGGTGGGGGCTCAGTTGCATATATTTATCATCATAAGGTTAAAAAAACAACTGGTATATGGCATGCAAGTGTCGTAGCGATCGTGTCGACTATGTAACAGCCCAGGTAACCACGTACCTAGAGTGCCACACCAAAAACACTCAAAACCACTAACTCCCAAAATTATTAGAAATTTCGACAGTCTCCCCTATAAATACGAACATCCACGACAGGCAGTTATAAGATAAATCAATAATGAAATAATTCGCACAATCCAAACCATCCTAGTTCCATAAATCCCACATAAGAATACGAACCATAACTTTAATTGACATTTACAAATTCTACGCAAAACTTATGCTAAGCAGGATCATAATCTAAAACCAAATTTTTTTAGTGCTATAAATGTGTAATCCAAGGGTGCTACTTCCCGCCCATGCATGTCGATCTCAATGTGTATCTAAAATCAAATAAACAGAAGAGTGAGTACAGAAATACTTTTTTTATAGTAGTACAGAAATACTCAGCAAGTATAATATGGAACTAGAAAACACGTATACACATCATGCGCAATAAAGCCTGAACAGAAAACTTTCTTTCTTTGAAAAGAATCATATTTCAAACACCAAGTTAAAGACAATAGTAGTTCCCATCCCAGACAAATATGAATTGAAATAGTAGTTTCCATCCCGGACAATTGTGAATACATCCTAGCATTTGCCGGCAAAGCTGAGTAAGCGTGATCAGCACTTACCCACAGGAATATAAATAGAAAACCAAGTAGCACATCCATGACTCACATGGAACATGAATAACTGAAACCAGAAACAAAGAACCAAATTGAAACCATATTGCACATCCATGGCAAGCATGGAACTTGAATTATTTAACCAGAACCAGAATCCGGAATATCGAAACAAGAATAACGTCATAGACATAAGATAAACTTGAAATCTAAATGGCGTAAACAACAGTCTGAACATAAACAGTCACTTATCACATAAAAATATGTCAGAAATAAATAGATAGAGTAAACGATCCAAGAATCACACAATTAGTTCATCATGCATTTGCCTTTAACCTTGACGGTAACCCGACGAACCACCCTCCACACCAGATCTCCCCACACCTATGCAGCAAAACTACGAATAAACCACTATGTTCAACTAATAATAGTTACACTAAAATCGAAACCTAGAACATATAAACTTTAACCGATTTATATTAAACAACATATAGCAGCTTCATTACTGTTTTATGCGTAACTCGCAAACCGTTTACGAAATCTAGCAAATAATACTACTTCGGACATCTAGATAAAATTGTCTACATCTTTCATGTTGGGCACAAAATCAGATTAAGTCTTTATTGGTCTCAGATTAAACAAAACGAATTGCTATCTTGATTTCCGGACCAGGTCAGCACTGTTGTTTCTGATGTTTGTCTCAAACCGTTTATCAGAATCGAGTGAAACCAGCGCCGTTAGAAAGATATCGGCGATGACTACAAACTTTATTTAGAACAACTAATCTGAATCCCGATGGTTTAATACCAGATTTAAAAATACGTTTTCAGCCCAGCAGCCAATAAAATAAATTTGAGCTATCGGAAACAGATCGTCTTATGTATAAATTAGAAACAAATAGAGACTAAAACGAATTACCTAGCAGTACTAATTTGTAAAAAAAACAATGAATTTTGAAATATCCACCAAATTCCCCAAATTTCCTTTCTTCTATCTAATTTCCCCCTCTCCCTCCTTCATGTTCTTCTCTGCCTTCTAACCCTCCTCCTCTCTGTTCGTTGCAGACCATCAACAGGAGCAGCAGCATTCGTTGCAGATCATCAACAACAGCAGAAGCAGCAACGAGGATCGGCAGCAACAACAAGCCATGCATCAGCAGCAAGGAAGAGATCAGATCGGCAGCAGCAGGGAAATTAACAGAAGGAGCAGCAGCTCACCAGCGACCGGCTGTGGAGGACGACGGCTGTGGCGACGACCGGCGACGATCGGCGACAGCGGCGACGTCCGGCGATGGCGGTGCCCAAAACAGATAAAGACGGCTAGGGCTGGGATCGATCCCTCTCTTTGCCCCCTTTTTTTTTACTGTTGGTTATATATAGTCTAGAAAGGAGAACAACGGTCCAAATCGATTCAATCCCCGAGACTTCGTTTGGACTCCGATTACTATAAACTAACTTATAGTCTATTTTGCATTAGTCGGCAAGCCCTACGCATCCATGGTTCCTGGTCGTCTATTCGAACAACAATTTAAAAATTGCACTTTTGCGCATCTGTTCTAATATTTTCTGAAATATACTAATTTGAAACTCGGTGTATTATAGACCACATGACCTGGAATGGGACAGGCTAGCGTAGTAGATCTTTCTTAATGGCTTTATCCTGCGGGCTTAAGGACTTCCGTGAACCCCGTGAGCGTAGGCTAGCGATGAGGATTGCCGTTGTTGCGGGATCCGATTAGATGATGTGGATCGCCGTTGTTGAGGGAATCACCCGTAGAGATAATTGATAGATGGGATTGATGAAAAGCTTATGACCTTAGCCTTGCTGGCATACACCATGAAGTATGCTTCAAGCGCTAACGGGCGTGAGTATTAAAATGTTTAAGGCGTCTGTGGGTACAGAGCGACACACCTCTGGAGAGTGTATGAATTGTGATATGTCACTTCCTGTTTCAGGTAGAAACTATGAACGTGGCAGGAAAGGAACCTATCGGAGGTTCTAATACCTGTGGTGCCTTATATGCAGTAGATTTCATAATTACTTAATATGAGCTTTTACAACACTGTTTTTATGAACATGTATGAATTTCCTTGTTGGATTATGGGACTTTGGACATATATGTATTATGCAGGTGGATTATGAGCATATAATTGTTGGGTTGCTATAGTTGGACTTGTTGAGTACCATTCATACTCATCCCATATATATATATATATATATATATATATATATATATATATATATATATATATATATATATATTATTCCTTATAGTGTTGAGCTAACAATTAGGTGAAGAAATATTCTACATGATTGATCAAGATCAAAGCAAATAATCGTTCCATATCTCTACATCAACTGAGAGTTGAAGGTGATGAAGGTCTATAGTAGCAAGGTACTATTAGTGCTTATTTTGGCAAAAGTTATTTTTTTACGGTTTTTATTTAATGGGTTTCGCTATAACTGTTTCTGCTATGCTACTCTAGTGTGCCTATTTCTCGGTAAGTTGATTCTTGCTGAGGAATGAGCCGTAGACTGATATTCTACCTCGGAAGTGAAATACGTGGGTCGCTACATATGTGCCCCTCCTAACACACTTTTTAAGAGACGGAAACCAACGACACATTCTGGTCTTACTAAAATCATATTGAAAGCTACACATGTGTAATATTCGTGGGTATTAAAATTTGGTACTTGGTGGCTGGAGTCATGCATCCACAAATCAACCTCTATATCACTAATGCTTCCTATATCCATTTTGAATTTTTGACTGAGAGCACATGAATTTTGACCAATTAAGATTTATGCTAAGTCAGATCGAGTTGGTCAAAAAAAATTAAAATGTGAAATCCTAGTAAAGTACTATCGACTAGTAGTCTATTGGTATGAATTTAATGTCAAATAACTAAATTATTTGAAAAAAAAAATGTTGTCGGTTCAAAGCTTAACAACTCAAAGTTAAAATAATGAAGGAAGTATGTTCTTATGGTTTTAAATTACCAAAGCTGTTCCAGAGAACAAATACACAGTGCAAATTCTTCAGGTTTTGATGCAACAATCCCCAATTTTGGCAGCCAAAGTCTGACGTTTTGCTTCAAATATTGAAATTCAAAATTCCGTGTGTTCACGATTTTAAAATTCTTTTCAACAAAGAATACTTCTAAATGGGAAATTTTATTGTTCGCTCTACAGTTGCACGCGCTTCGACAAATATGCCACGAAGTTGTCTGTACAGACTGTACTTCATGTTTTTTGTCCCAAATCTGTTTACAGAAGATCAAGAAAAAATATCTTTGGACAAAATGTAGAAGCACATGCAACTATGGAGAAAATCATCAATTTTCCATTTAAGATATTAACTGCTACTTCTGAGAAGAGCCTACAGGCTAGAGCAGCTGCTGGATTATCACAGAACAAACAGAATAAGATCATCTTCTGTTTACAGAAGAACTACGGAGCATAAAGATAATCTGATAATATCTTCGCATAAAGCAAATATATGCTCAATGGAGTATTAGCTGTAATCTCAAACATAGAGCAACTGACACATTGGCCTTTTACGACTGAAACATGCGTGATCTAACATAAGTTAGAATAGCTAATAATACTTATATGGTAGTATGTGCTTAATACGTTAGACATTGGTGAAAGCAGTGCAGATGCATAGCTGATCCTTGAACACCTCTGCAAACCAAAGATCCTACAGCCGTCCACTTCCATGAACTGCACCAGCATCTTCACCTTCACCACCTCCACCTGCCATTACTGGAGAGTTAGGCCAAATTATGGAAGACCATCAGTCCATCACAGAAACCAGCAAAACTGGGATATGTAACAACATTAACGCACAACACATATATGGCAATTCGAAATTCTAGCAATTTGACAACTACTTGTGGGTAACCCCAAAGGAAAGAAAGGTTCTTTCACTAGAATCCATCTTTCTGAAGGTCACTAGAATCAAGAATGCATGTTAAAGCTCTCTGTAATTAGTTCAGTGTAGTGCATGATGAAACGAATATTCGTGTCCATCCTTTAACGTAACCCACAAATAAAAGCAATCAGAAAAGACTACACATGAAAGGTTACTGGATACAATATAATCCAAATGAATACCCCCCTCCATCCCAAAATATATGATTGAACTAACCAACATTATATAAAAAGAAACAGAGGGAGTATTATTCATGTAATCTTTACCAACAAAGCTCATGGTGTGAATTGCAGATGCACAAGAACAGTCACAGGAAAAATAAAAGAAATATGAGATTGTCGTGCATGGTTGCTACAATGCTACCCCCACATCACAGCCTCTATTTTTGCAGGCATGTACGACGTGAAGAAAGCTAGTTAATTCTGAAAAGACAAGAGCATGAACTAGTTTGGCCAATTTATGATGTCATAAATTCGTCAGCTTTCTTACAGAAATGAGTAACTTCGGAGCTTAAAATAGCTAAGCGAATCATTTGTTATACTTTAAAAACTTTCAAACTTTATATAGTAGATGTTGTTGTATCAGTATTATAGAGTAAACATGCTATAGTTCTATATGGGTGAGGGTGACCCCAGAATTTTCCTTTTTAAATGGAAGGTAAAGCATAGCTCCTTCTACAATATGCAACACTGTAGTTACATACGGATGACTCCAAAAATATGTGATCACCATTCACATCCACCAGTACAATCTTTAGCTCATCCCCTGATAGCTGATTACCAGATTTCAATGATATATTCAAGAGAAATCAGAAGCTATATTCTTACCCATAAAAGGCACATATATTCAATTATGGTAGAAAATGGATACCAATGCAAGCCCTATGTTCTTACTAACTCAAACCATACGGGAATTGGATATTCACAGTAACATTTTAACAATATGCTAGTTGAGGTGCACCTCTGATAAGCCAATTTCTGCGTACTACCCATTTTACATCCTCTTGAATCCATGAATTGCAAGAAATATGATAAGTCACTTCAACAAAGTAAACTATCAACTTGATACTGCTAACATCCATTTCATATGTGCATGTCTGCATTCCTATCCACAAAGCACAAACTAGAAAGGCAATCTATAACTGCAACTAAACTCAACCAGAACAGACAGGGATTTGAAGTCATTTGTGCAATTCATCTTCAGATACTACGAAAATTACACATTTAGAGGCAAATCAAATTCAAAATGAGAGCAAGTAAACACATAAAAAAAAACATTGCATGTTATACCTGCAACATAGACGCTTGAATAGGGATAAACAAAGTCCACCACTCTGGAAGCAGCCACCTTCTTCATCAGCATCTCATCTTCAAGATGGAGCATGAAGATCCCCTCAATTGTCCATATGAACGCAGAGATGCCACCTTCGTCAACCCCGAGCAGCCGGACAGGCGGCACCAGAATCACCCGCCCACCTGCGCATGGCAATGGCATTGGAGCGAACACGTCGAGGTCAATGCTCTTGAGAAGCACCCAGCTGCTGGTGCTTGCGACGCCATCGGCGCCGCCAGCCTCCCGCGCCCACAGCTGCAGGCTGAACACGTCCATCACGGCGAGGCCGAGTGCGCCGTCCGGCGAGGCCATCAGCTGGATGCTGCTCCTCCCGTACAGAGCCAGAGCGTCGGGCGGCGGCGGCTCGACCACGGCGAGGGTCTCCTTGCCCATGTCGAGCTCGAGGATGTCGCCGTCGGCCGTCGTCGAGCGCCCAGTAGAGCGCGTCCCCGGCGAGCGCGCTGGGCTTCTTGCCCACGTCGCCGCAGCGCGCTGTCCCCGCGGTGATCAGCCTGCCCCACGCGGCGGTCTCCGACGAATAGAGGCAGGCGGACGCGCGGCCCTCGCCGGTGAACACGAAGGCGACGCGGAAGGAGCCGTGTCGGCGGGTGTCCTGGTCGCCAAGAACCGCGGCGTTGCAGGCCCGGACGTGGCCCGCGAGGCGGCCGAGGCGGACGGAGCTGCGGTGGCCAGTGACGGGGTCCCAGACGAGGAGCTGGAGCCAGCCGGGCCCGCTGCGGAGGAGCACGCGGCCGTGGCGGCATCCCAGGAGGCTCCAGTCGCCGTCGCCGAACACGAGCGAGGGCCCCGCGGGCGCGGCGAGGGCGACGAAGGAGGGGCCGAGGGAGCGGGAGTTGTGGTAGAAGCCGAGCACGGGAGGTGTTCGGTGGAATGCGCGTAAGCGGGGGAGGAAGGCCGGGCCGTGGATGAGGCGGCCCCAGCGCCTGCAGACGAGCGCGGCGCGGTGGAGGCAGTCGGGGTCGGGCGGGAGGCGGAGGAGGATCTCGAAGAGGAGGTCCTCCGCCGGCGGCAGCGACGGCGGCGGGGCGCCCGGGCACGCGCGCTGCGGCGAGGGGAGCATGCACCCCATCGTACGGACAGTTTTGGCGGGGGGGGGGGGGGGGGTTGCGCGTTCGAGGCTGTGCGACACTTGTCACTCACTGGCTCTATACTACGGACTCTATGGTCACTGATTAGTGGGCCATCTCTTCTCTTGTCCCTTTTTGTTTTGTTGTTTGAGCCAGTTCAAAAGGGCTAGCTGCAAGCTCTAAAACTTGCTAAAACTCTTTTTTTTTCCTCTCTTTTGTTGTTTAGAATAGGCTATTTGCTTGCTTTCACCAATTTAAGGTATAAGTTTCTAAATAGTACTGGTATATCTTGATCCAACGAATTGTACACCGTGTGATCACACGTTGTCATCCTATTCGTTGGTGTGGCATGAAGAGGGCTCATAACGAAGCTATCAGTTGTAAAATAGACGTGCAACACTTGGCCGCTAACTAATTAGTACCCGATTTTTCTCTCTACTATTTCTTTTATCTATCACATGTGTTAAAATCCTAAGTAAGCAGGCTATTTGCGAGAAAACGGACGATATGCCACTCTATAGGTTGGGTTGGGATAAAATACCGCTCAATACAATGCATCGGATAAAATGCCACTCAATACATTGCCTACTGAATGAAATGCTACTTTGGAGATTTTTATGTCCAAAATGTCCCGAGAGAGAGAGAGAGAGGAGAGGGGAGCGCCAGGGAAGGCCTCCCGGGCGGCGCCGGAGGCCTCGCCAGGCGATGTCGCCTCTTCCTCCGCTGGCCCGCTGCCCTATCCTCCTCCCCTCCATCATCCTCGCCAGCCGCCGCCGCCCGGCGAGGCCTTTGGCACCGCCCGGGCGGCCCTCCACGGCGCTCCCCTGATCTCCTCTCTCTCTCCAAGGACATTTTGGGCACAAAAATCTTCAAAGTAGCATTTCATCCTGTAGACAGAGCGCCAGGGAAGGCCTCCCGGGCGGCGCCGAAGGCCTCGCCAGGCGACGTCGCCTCTTCCTCCACTGGCCCGCTGCCCTATCCTCCTCCCCCCGTCATCCTCGCCAGCCGCCTCCGCCCGGCGAGGCCTCTGGCGCCACCCGGGCAGCCCTCCACGGCGCTCCCCTGATCTCCTCTCTCTCTCCAAGGATATTTTGGGCACAAAAATCTTCAAAGTAGCATTTCATCCTATAGACAATGTATTGTATCCGGTGCATTGTATTGAGTGGTATTTTATCCCAGCCCAACCTGTACAGTGGCATATTGTCCGTTTTCTCGCTATTAGCTCACTATTGTTTATGCTCTTACCACTTAAATACTGGGGATTCACTGTTATTTCTTGTCGTGTAAAAGAATGGGATGCCCATATTATGTGTAGCTATAATAATAATTGATAATAATAATGATGCTAGTAGATAGATAGATAGATCGATCGATCGATCATAAAGCAAAAATGTCAAATCAATATTGGTGTGCAAAATTTCTTTTATACTACATTAATTAAAGAAAGGCAAAATACAATGCCAATCCTTAAACTTATCATAGAATGTCATCTAGACCCATAACTTAACAAAATGCTCATTTAGAGCCTATAATTTTGGCTTAATGTACCACGTGAGATCGGTTAATTAGATGGGCCATAGAGCTAACATGACCATCCATAATGATGGGACCTTTTCATTTAACCCCTTAATTTCCACTACAGTAACCTCTAAATTAATTGCTCGGCTCAAAAGGGAAGGAAGAGTATAGGCCGGGTCATTCGTATGTGCACAAACTTAACGTCTCCCTATCGCGTCATATATCTCGCTATGGGGACCTTTAATTTGATTGTGGATGATCAATGTCGCCCTAATATATAGCTACTTCTTCGCCTGCTCTCCTATTCAAGTGGTGGCATGCTGAATTATGAGAGCCGATTTTGATATTATTGTAACGAAAGGGGCTGCATAAGAAACTTCACCCACGGTAGATGGCCACGTCAGTACATAGTTTACAAAACCATGCGGTTACTATGCAGTTATAGCGGTTACCATGCACGGTAACTTTTTCAGTTTTTAAACCACGGTACGTCTCGTGGTTTCTCGGTAATCGCGCGGTTACCGTAGTAATCACCTTATCGTGGGGGTGCGGTAACCGCGCAAAAAGAATAAGGGGAACCCTGGTCAGTACTCTAGTCCCGCAAGCAGCACTTTGGACTTGACGTGGTATATTAAACAAAGATTATGTATCTAAGATGTATGTTATCTAAGTTTATGAAACTAGATGACATCTTAGGATAAGTTTAATTAAGGGCAAGCAATCTATTTTACTCATAAAAAATCATGGATTTATGTAATCATTTGTAAAAGGACAATCATCTCCCTCTCCTTCAGTCTCCCCAATTCAAAACAGTATTAAATGGACATGTTGGTGGTTGCACTTGTTAATGTTCTTGTTGGCTATCTTGCTCTGGAGTATAAATTCGCTGAGTCTTAGGGGTTGTTTAGATTGTAGCAAAAATAAACATTTATCAAATTTTAAAGATTTTAGCAATATTGTCAATTTTTAGCATAATTTTTTATGTATTTATCAAAGTTTAATAAAAACTAAATGGATTATTTTACCAAAAAATAATATGGTTTAAAATGATATCAATCTATACAAACTAGATTAATTTGTTTGTACTGCAGCTAATATGGACCAAATATCACCAAAGATGCGTACCACCCCACTTTAAGGCCTCATTGACAGGCTTAAATTTCTCGGCCCATCCATCACACTGGGCTTTCCCTGGAGGCCGAGTTACGAAAATTTCAAAGCAGTGGGCTTTCGATATAAACATTCGCGTACGCATTTTACAATTCCCATGGACTTATGTAAACTTTCCAGCATTTTGTCTGTCTCTATCGTGCGTTTGAACTGCCCATTTAGCTCGGCCAATTAACTTGGTTGCACATAAAACGAGATAGATCATTAATAAATAATTAATTAATTCTTAATAATTTTACACTTAGAAAATAGATACATTTGATTCTTTTAAAGAAACGTCTATATGGTATTATAAAGTATTTCTAGTGTTTAGTAGTTTGAAAAGCGTGTACTCACAAAATATGTTGAAGTTGCTCAGCCAAGTTGCTAAATTAAACTCAGCCGACTGCCATTAGCTTTTGTGGTAAGAAATCGCGTGTGAATTAAATATGTGGGTGTGACATGAGAAACAAATGCTAGTACCAACGATTCTTTTACTGACATCGACGAAGTCTCCCATACGTACATGTAAATCACCACTTTTTTCTAATTGAATATACTTATAAAAAAACTTATAAAATTGTTAAAAACATAACCATTGTTCTTCATGACGAATCTAAAGTTTCTTAGCCTAATAATCGATATTTAAGTACATACAACGTTCTTTTGAGAATGGAGATAGTGTTGGATTATATGCACCAATTAGTTCAACCAAAAGCTCAAACCCAGGGAGAAAAGAGCTTAACACATACTACTACTCCATATCAACTACAAGGCAAAAGTTGGCCATACGTATAGGCCCAGTAGCTACACGTACAGGGTACAAAAAATTGGTCGAGAAACTTGGTATGCAACTTCGTTGGATCCTTCGGTCGTCTGGGATTATTTTTCTGTATATATCTTGGGTCCATCACTGCACTCCGGCAGGCCGGCCGATCAAAGCTGTAGCAGCTGCTTGCCCGGCTTTTAGATTTGGTGCTCGATCTCATCGCATCTTCAGTAGCTCTAGCTTCTCTCACCTTTTGGAGTAGCACGCGTGCATTGCTGTGCTTGCTTGGTTGGTGAAGTGCGCTCTCCATCGCCTTTCTCGTCTTCAATTCCGATGCAGATCGACAGAAAGAAAGAAAGGAAGGAGAAGTTTTTGCATGCACGCATATTCCCCTAATCTATTTATCTTGATTGATAGTTCTTCAGATAGTAGTATATAATTGGCGATCCATGTATATTCGTGCATATAAAACAATATTTTTAAACAAACGGCGATCGACTTATATGTGATTGGTGATGATTCTAGGTTTGGACGACAACGATCATGATCCATACTACTATGTGTTTTACTGTGCTGAGGCGTGTGTAAGAGTTGAAATTGAAATATGGATACAAGGAAGACGATGCCATGCATGTTCCCGAGATAACACATGGGAAGAGGAAGAATAGTTTTATCTAACCAAAACTGTTTATATTTTAGGACAAAAGTACAAGAGAAAGATGGTGCATAGCACAAGTTCGTAATGGTTAAGGAAGCCAACGATCGTCGCCTATACCACGCTACCATCCTCTACACCTCCCACCGCGATCTTAAAACCCATCAAGGAATGGTTCCGGAATCTATTATTGCACTTGGTATCACACCTGTTGCTAAGAAAAGAGTCAACTTTTTCTCTCTACTCTCTCTCACTCCTCCACCTCAACAAGAAGTTCTTGAGCAATTGTGAGTGATAGATTATCATGCATGGTTTAGTAGCATAACACATCGAGAAATGGCCACTCTAGTAAGGTCATTTGCTAGGATTGAGTATATTAATGTATAACATCGGTTAGAGTTCTCATAATATTAGTATCAGCGTTGAGTGGGACTTATTTACGGTATGTTTTTTACTTATCGATGTTACTCGGTGTAATTAATTAATACCTGATGCTCTATAATCATAGTTGATGAGGGACAAGACAACCGTAACCATACTTTGAGCCATAGGTTTGAGATAAACCTTGTAAACAAAGTAAAAAATTCCTATACATCCGATCCATGTGTACAACTGACGTCCAACTAGTGGCAGTGTAGACACAACTGCTGTTTTGCTTGGTCCACCTATATTGTGAAATACCAAGCTTATTGATTGGTGGATGCTTCCAATCAGATGAGAGTAGTCGTACGATCGGGTTACACATGTAGCGAGATTTGAAACAAATTTCATGAATTTGGTCGTCTATTTCTATTATCTCCTATAGCGCGTCACACAATGCACATTCCACTATCCATAAGGTGGTCTTCCTGCTAGCTGCACAAGGTGTTAGACTAGACGACATAGGTTCGAAGCCTCACCCCCTTATAATCATTTGATATTAGTCAT